CTCGGTTTGTTTTTGAACTTGTCATTTATTTTTTTGCTTATCGCGGGGTGTACGTACACCTGAAACTCAGGGGGGCCAAAGGGGGCTGCATGCAAAGGGGCATTATATGCATTGCTGCTGCTGCTGCTGCTGCTGCTGCTGCTGCTGCTGCTGCTGCATGCAGCGAATATGAATAAACTTGAACAGTTTAAAACTGCATTATTGCATTTTAAATGCAATTTAAAGCCCTTTAAAGTCCTTGCATGCAGCTGTTTGCATGCACTTACTTGCATGCACTATTTTCCCCTTAAGGCATTAAAAGGATTTAATTTCATTTGTTGCAATTGGCAAAGCAAACCCCCACAGCAGCACAGTGCTTTTCATTTCACCAACAACTGCTGGCGGTTTAGGGTTTTGGGTTTAGGGTTTAGGGTTTAGGGTTTAGGGTTTGGGCGCAGCCAGCCAGCGCGCGTCGGCGCCGGGGCATGCAGCGCCGAGGCGGCTGCGCGGGGGGGCTGAAGGGAATTTCTTTTTTGGTTTATTTTAATTTTAATTTAAATTAAATAAAAAGAATTTACACTTTGAAGAATAAATGCGAAGTTGTGGGCGCTGGGGGCTGCGCGAGCGCTGCTGCTGCGGCGGACCGCTGGACTGCGGCGCAGCAGCAGCGGCTGCCTGTGCAGCTTTCCGCGGATCTTCTTCGAAAAGCTCTTCTTTCTTCGAATTTGAATTCTAAATGCATTTCTGTTTGCAAATTTCATCAAAAAAAGGGGTTTTTGGCTGCGGCGGAGGGCTGGCGCTGGTGCGGGTGCGGCCCGCCGCTGAAAGCCAATGGTCTGCACACCGCGGCGACTTCGGCTGCGCCTCCGCGTTTTTTTCCTGAAATTTCCCTTTTGGAGGATTTAATTTGTTTTTTTATTGCAAAGAAGTCGCGGAAGAAATGCTTTGAGGCGGCGAAAGCGGCAGTCGAGCGCGCGACGCGTGCGGGCCTCCAGGTGTACAGACAGCTCGCCGCGCGCAGCTTTCGCCTCCGAGGAAGCGGCAGATTCCGTCACTTCTTTGCGATCTTGGGCTCAAAAAAAAGCTGCTGCAATGCCGCATTCTATTTTAATTAATTCGGGAAGCCCCAGGTCCCCGCGGGTGCGAGTTTCCTTCGCGGAACCCGCAGCTCCCGCCAACCAGATCTACTTGAAGACTCAGCCCGACGGCGGAGTCATTTTCTACCTCGCTGCTTCCTTAGACCGCCCGCTGCAGCAGGTCTTCGACTTCTACGCCTACAACGGATTCATGACGCAGTCCCACTTCATCAAGATGGTCAGTTTGCTGCAGCTGCAGCAGCAGCAGCAGCAGCAGCAGCAGCAGCAGCAGCAGCAGCAGCAGCTCTTGAGAAGCAGCAGAAGCACAGAACCAAAGAAGCAGGAGCGCTGCAGCTGCTGCGCTGCAGTTGGCGGCTTTGCGCGGAAGCGCGTTGCTGCTGTTGCTGCTGCTGACTTGCTGCAGCGCCTTTCGCTGCTGCTGCTGACTTGCTGCAGCGCCTGTTGCTGCTGCTGCTGACTTGCTGCAGCGCCTTTCGCTGCTGCTGCTGACTTGCTGCAGCGCCTTTAGCTGCTGCTGCTGACTTGCTGCAGCGCCTTTCGCTGCTGCTGCTGCTGACTTGCTGCGGCGCCTTTCGCTGCTGCTGCTGACTTGCTGCAGCGCCTTTCGCTGCTGCTGCTGACTTGCTGCGGCGCCTTTCGCCGCTGCTGCTGACATGCTGCAGCGGCTGTTGCTGCTGCTGCTGACTTGCTGCAGCGCCTGCTGCTGCTGCTGCTGCTGCTGCTGCTGCTGCAGTGCCTGGACAACAAACTCTTTCCACCTGAAAAAGACCCAAACCCTCTGCAGCACATTTTCAAGTCCGTGGCGGAGGGCGCGCGGTGTCTGGGTGAGCGCCGCAGTCAAGTTGGGTCTCCGGGCCTCTTTTTTTTCCTTTTTTCGCGGAAAAAAGTTTAATTTGACATTTTAAATGAATTTATTTTGCAAAATTATTCCATTTTTGCTTTTTTTAATTCAAATTCGCCTTTTTTTTATTCAATTTCGACTTTTTTTCGACCCTCAGAGTATGACTCCTTCCTGCGGTTGGTACACCTCATGGCCCGCCTCAAGTTCCGCAGAGCCAACTTGCCCGAACAAGACGCAGTGAGTTCTTTTTGAATTAAATTAAATTAAATTAATTAAATTAAATAAATTAAATTAAAGTAATTAAATTAAATTAATTAAATTAGATTAATTAAATTAAATTAAATTAAATTAAATTAAAGTAAATTAAATTAAATGTAATTGAATTTATTTAAATTAAATCAAAAAAAGAAATTCAAAAGGAAATTCAGTTTCATTGCCAGTGGCACAGCCTCAACCCCTCGACATCCAACTTTGAATTCAATTCTAATTTTAATTTTAATTTCAAATTTAATTTTAATTTTAAATTTAAATTTAAACTTAAATTTAAATTTAAATTTAAAATTAAATTTAAATTTAAAATTAAATTTAAAATTAAATTTAAATTCAAATTTAATTTAATTTTAATTTTAAATTTAATTTTAAATTCTTTTTTTGTTTTAGGTGAACGCGTTAGTGGCGCATTTGCTGCAGACGGCGCCGCGGCGGGACCGTCGGCACAAACTGGTGCACTGCGGCATTCAGGTGATTTGCGTTCAATTTTTTTGATTTTTTTAAAATTAAAAGAATTTAAAATCAAAATAAATAAATAAAAGAACAAAGGGGCTCTTTTGGGTCCAAAAATGGTTCAATTTGGCCCCGGACTTGGCGATTTTTGCGGATTTCAAGTTTCAAATCAAGCCCTCTGCCCGCAGGCCAGCCCCGAGTGCGCAGACAAAGACTGCAGCGCAGTTGTTGAAGTCAAAGATGCTGCAGCAGACTGCGAGCCGCTGCTGCGGGACCAGCAGGTGCAGCAGCAGCAGCAAACGAAGGAAGCAGCAGCAGCAGCAGCGCCGGAGACCCGAGAGATCGGCGAACAAGTCCACTTCGAAAGCCTCCACGTCGCCGTCCAAGTCAACCTCGTCAGCTCCTCCTGCTGCTGCTGCTGCTGCTGCTGCTGCTGCTGCCGCTGCTGCTGCTGCTGCTGCTGTTGTTGCTGCTGCTGCTGCTGCTGCTGCTGCAGGGAGTTTGGAGGAGACCAGGCGGGTCTGCATGCATGCATGCGCAGGACAAGGAGGAGGCGGAAGCGCAGCGGCGGCTGCGGGAAGAAGAGGAAAGGGCGGCGAGAGAAGAAGCAGAAAGGCGAAAGAAAGAAGAAGAAGAAGCAGCAGCAGCAGCAGCAGCAGCAGCAGCAGCAGCACTGCCTCCTCCCAAAACCTTCTCCGAAGCAGAAACGCAAACAACTTTCTCCGGGGAAAGTCCCCTCGACGAAATCGACACTCAAGAGCCCCCCGCAGTCTTGAGTGAGAAGCAGCTGCTGCAGATTCCAGCGGCTCTTTTCCGCTTTTGCTGCACTCTTAGATTCATTTTATTTTATTTTCAATTCTTTTTAATTTCATTTTAAAGCTTTTTAATTTTGTTTTCAAGTTTTTAACTTTCAACTCCGCAATCTGCATGCAACCTCCAGCTTTCCTCCTGTTCAACTTGCCGCCTGTCTGCGCCCCAGCCGTTCTTCTTTGCACCAACTTCCGGAAATAAAATAATAATAGAAATAATAATAATTAATTTGCATTAATTTACATTTAATTATTCAAATAAATGCAAAAAACAACTTTTGAAATGCAGAAAAAGGCGGAAAGCTGCAGCTTTCCCGCGCGATCCTGGGGTGTATCGGCAGCTTTCCTGTTTTCCCGCTTTCGCGCTTCACAATTCCACTTCAGAAAATTCTTTTTGGATTTCTTTTTTGCGGACTTTTTGAATATTTGAACTCTTTTTGCGGACTTTTTGAATATTTCGAACTTCTTGAATTCTTTTTTCACTTTTGAACTTCTGCAAAACTCTTTTCTGCACTGCAGCGGCTCTCAGAGGCGAACAAGACAGCTTGCTGTACAGGGCCTTCTGCCTCTACAGCGAATTCGTTCCAAGGTGAGAAAACTGAAAAGTCCTTTTTGCTGCTGCTGCTGCTGCTGCTGCTGCGGACTGCTGCTGCAGGTTCCTCCTTTTTGCTGCTGCTGCGGCGTATTTCGCATTTGCTGCTGCTGCTGCGTACTCGGCACTTGCTGCTGCTGCGGCGTACTTCACATTTGCTGCTGTTGCTGCGCATTTCGCACTTGCTGCTGCTGCGGCCTATTTCGCATTTGCTGCTGCTGCGGCCTATTTCGCATTTGCTGCTGCTGCGGCCTATTTCGCATTTGCTGCTGCTGCGGCTTATTTCGCATGCGCTGCTGCTGCGTATTTCGCATTTGCTGCTGCTGCTGCGTATTTTCGCATTTGCTGCTGCTGCGGCTTTTTTGCGCTTGCTGCTGCTGCGACGTATTTTGCATTTTTTGCTGCTGCTGCGTACTTCACATTTGCTGCTGCTGCTGCGTACTTCACATTTGCTGCTGCTGCTGCGTACTTCACATTTGCTGCTGCTGCTGTGTATTTCACACTCACTGCTGCTGCGCATTTCGTACTTGCTGCTGCTGCTGCATATTTGGCACTTGATACTGCTGCAGCGTATTTTGAATTTGCTGCTGCTGCGGCTTATTTCGCATTTGCTGCTGCTGCTGCGTATTTTGCACTCGTTGCTGCTGCTGCTTATTTCGGATTTGCTGCTGCTCCTGCTGCTGCGTATTTTGCATTTGCTGCTGCTGCTGCTGATTTCGCATTTGCTGCTGCTGCTGCGTACTTTGCACTCGCTGCTGCTGCTGCGTATTTTGCATTTGCTGCTGCTGCGTATTTCGCATTTTGCTGCTGCTGCTGCGTATTTTGCACTTGCTGCTGCTGCTGCTTATTTCGCATTTGCTGCTGCTGCTGCGTATTTTGCACTTGCTGCTGCTGCCGCGAATGCCGCACTTGCTGCTGCTGCTGGTTATTTTGCAGTCGCTGCTGCTGCTGCGTATTTCGCATTTGCTGCTGCTGCTGCTGCTGCTGCTGCGTATTTTGCACTCGCTGCTGCTGCGTATTTTGCATTTGCTGCTGCTGCTGTGTATTTCGCATTTGCTGCTGCTGCTGCGTACTTTGCACTTGCTGCTGCTGCTGGTTATTTTGCATTTGCTGCTGCTGCTGTGTATTTCGCATTTGCTGCTGCTGTTGCGCATTTTGGACTCGTTGCTGCTGCTGCGTATTTAGCATTTGCTGCTGCTGCTGCGTATTGTGCACTCGTTGCTGCTGCTGCGTATTTCGCATTTGCTGCTGCTGCTGCGCATTTTGGACTCGTTGCTGCTGCTGCGTATTTAGCATTTTCTGCTGCTGCTGCGTATTTTGCACTCGTTGCTGCTGCTGCATATTTCGCATTTGCTGCTGCTGCTGCTGCTGCTGCTTATTTCGCATTGGCTGCTGCTGCTGCGTATTTCGCATTTGCTGCTGTTGCGTACTTTGCACTCGCTGCTGCTGCTGCATATTTCGCATTTTGCTGCTGCTGCTGGTTATTTTGCACTTGCTGCTGCTGCTGCTTATTTCGCATTTGCTGCTGCTGCTGGTTATTTTGCACTCGCTGCTGCTGCCGCGTATGCCGCACTTGCTGCTGCTGCTGGTTATTTTGCACTTGCTGCTGCTGCTGCTGCGTATTTCTCATTTTGCTGCTGCTGCTGGTCATTTTGCACTCTCTGCTGCTGCTGCTGCGTATTTGGCATTTGCTGCTGCTGCTGCTGCGTATTTTGCACTCGTTGCTGCTGCGCATTTTGCATTTGCTGCTGCTGCTGGTTATTCTGCACTTGCTGCTGCTGCGTACTTTGCACTCGCTGCTGCTGCTGGTTATTTTGCATTTGCTGCTGCTGCTGCTGATTTCGCATTTGCTGCTGCTGCTGCGTATTGTGCACTCGTTGCTGCTGCTGCTGGTTATTTTGCATTTGCTGCTGCTGGTGCGCATTTCGCATTTGCTGCTGCTGCTGCTGCGTATTTTGCACTCGCTGCTGCTGCTGCGTATTTCGCATTTGCTGCTGCTGCTGCTGCTTATTTCGCATTTGCTGCTGCTGCGTATTTCGCATTTGCTGCTGCGGCTGCTGCGCTTGCTTGCTGCTGCTGCTGCGCACTTGGCACTTGCTGCTGCTGCTGCTGCGCGAGCTGCTGCTGCCTCTGGCGTCCCTGCGCGAAATCTTCGTATTTTTGGGACCTTTTTGCATTTTTTTGCAGCTTTTTGGATTTTCCAGCTTCTCCTTTTAATTCCCATTCATTAAAATTAATTTCTTTGCATTAATTTGCATTAATTTGAATTAATTTGAATTAATTTGCATCAATTTGCGTTAATTTCAACTTTGCTGCAGCGCCTGCGAGAACTTGCTGCCCGAGCAGCAGTGCGCCCTCCTCTTCCGCGACGGCGGCCTCATGGCCGTGCGGCAGCACCCGGCCATTCGGGGGCTGCCGCCCTCAGTGGCCCGCGACTGCTTCCGCCAAGGTTTGCTGCTGCTGCTGCTGCTGCTGCTGCTGCTGCTGCTGCTGCTGCTGCTGCTGCTGCTGCTGCTGCTGCTGCTGCTGCT